GTGCGTGTCACCTCTGACACGCATGTCATAGGTTCGCCATCACGGTCCTAGAAGCAGAGGCTCCCTCAACAGAGGGTCCCGGGCACAGCCCATCTTCCCGTTTCCCCAGTTGCTTACCCTTCTGTTTCCTGTGACGAACGACAAGGCCCAGGCCCAGGAAGATCAGCCCCAGCACGAAGCCCCCAACGCCGCTCAGCATCTTGCTCTGGGCAGATCCAGACTGCGCCCCTGGGGAGCAGAGCCTGGGTGTCAGCTTCTGTCCCCAAACCCACAGGGGCCTTTGGGAGCCTCCACCCCTGTGGGGACCAGCCAGTAAACCCTTGGACACCGTGGGTGGGTGACAGGGGAAGTGGATCCTGTCCTTCACATGCATCCTTAACCGTGAACCTCAAGCCCATCACCAGCAGCCACAGTCAGCCCTCAGAGCCCTCAGGCTGGGTTCTGGCTGTGGTGTAGAGTGACCTCCCTAGTGTCTGGAAACACAATGAGATCTGATGCCCCTGCCATGGCACCAGAGGGCTCTAGCTTCCTGTGATATCCACTTAGCAGTGACATTAGCGATAGGGATGCGATGGGAAGGCCAGGGGATGCTGTCTGCCCTCTGTCTGTGGGGCCCAGGGTGCAGGAAAGAAACCGCCCCTTACGCCACTCCACTTTGATGGGACTCCGGAGGCTAGGGTGCTCCACCCGGCAGGTGTAGACATCTCCTCGCCGGGGGGTCATTTCCAGCATCACCAGGATCTGGTAGGTCCAGTCCCCGTTCCTAATCAGGGGTGTGGACACGACGCCGGCTGTCTCCTCCTGGTCGTTCCGGAACCAGCGGACTTTGATGTGGGCTGGATAGAAATCCGTCACCGAGCAGACCAGCATGTTGTGGTGGTTCAGGGCCTCTGTCCTGGCCGGGGAGATGGTCACTGTGGGCTCCACTGGGAAGAGAGGGGTAACAGGAGGAAAATAGAGAGTGAGATGTGGGGGCACAGGCAAGTCTCCCCACGGGGAGCGTCCTCCCTGTACCAGCAGGAAAGAACCTTGGATTCTGAGTCCGGGATGAGGACCTGAGCTGGGCCACTTGATTAGCTCGAGTACACACATGAGTCAGTTAACTTTTCAAGGTCAAGAGCTAACAGTAATCATTTTATGGGAGATATTCTGTTACCAATTAATAAAAATGGAGCCTTTAAATGTTTAAATTGCTAGGTCATACAGGCCACTATTCACAATGTTTTTAAATAAAGATGAAAAACCTGGACTTCTTTTCCCTCCACCTGTTGATGGTGACCCTGGGGATCAGCTCTAGGGACTCACACCAGGGCAGTAACACTGTTTCCTGTTGGTCCTGCAGCTCCTCACAGTGGAGAAAATACATCAGTTTGAGTCTCCAGGCGCATGAGCCCATCAACTGGTCACAGCTCCATGAACCGTAACACGGACTGAGAATTAGGAACATTACCAACAGTTCTATGTCCAACAGAGCAGGACAGCAGTGAGCATCACATCCTACCTCTGAAGCAATGTTCTCAAACAAGCTCTTCCCTACCATTCTCAGCAGGTAATGCCGACAGAATTTAAGGGCAGGAGCACTTCTCACATGTCACCCATCAACGAACCCCTCTCAGCTGTTAGCCTAACCCAGCTCAGGTGCCATTCTGTGGCAAACTCCTATTAAATTTTATACTATTAAATAATAAACTTCATCTCCATGTCATCTATGCCACCTATGTTTTATCTATTTACTGATTCATTTATTCATTCAT